AAAGAAGTCATTAAGCATCTCTGCCATTTCCAAGTTTCCTGTTACTGTTTCTTCCTCCTCACTGAGCAGTGGGCCTACCCTGTTCTTGGTCTTCCTCTTGCTTCTAATGTATTTATAAAAAGTCTTCTTGTTTCCCTTTATTCCTATAGCTAGTTTGAGCTCATTTTGTGCTTTTGCCTTTCTAATCTTGCCCCTGCATTCATGTGTTGTTTGCCTATATTCTTTGTAATTTGTCCTAGTTTCCATTTTTTATAGGATTCTTTATTTTTAGATCATACAAGATCTCGTGTTAAAGCCAAGGCGGTCTTTTCCCATATTTTTTAACTTTTTGACACAGTGGAATAGCTTGCTTTTGGGACCTTAACAATGTCCCTTTGAAAAACTGCCAACTCTCTTCAGTTGTTTTTCCCCTCAGTCTTGATTCCCATGGAAACTTACCTATCAGCTCTCTGAGCTTACCAAAATCCGCCTTCCTGAAATCCATGGTCTCTATTTTGCTGTTCTCCCTTCTACCCTTCCTTAGAATTGTGAACTCTATGATTTCATGATCACTTTCACCCAAGCTGCCTTCCACTTTCAAATTCTCAACCAGTTCCTCCCAATTTGTTAGGATCAAATCTAGAACAGCTTCCCCCTGGTAGCTTTTTCAACCTTCTGAAATAAAAAGTTGTCTCCAATGCAGTCCAAGAACTTGTTGGATAGTCTCTGCCCTGCTGTGTTATTTTCCCAACATATATCTGGATAGTTGAAGTCCCCCATCACCACCAAATCTTGGGCTTTGGATGATATTGTTATGGTTATACTGGGTAAGAGCAGAGTTCTATCTAGCCCAGTATCCTGTTTTCCAACAGTGGCCAATGCCAAGTGCTCCAAGGGTAATGAACAGAACAGGAAATCATTAAGTGATCCATCCCCTGTCACCCATTCCCAGCTTCTGATAAACGGAGGCTAGGGACACCATCCTTACCCATCTTGGTTAATAGCCATTGATGGACCTAGCCTCCATGAATTTATCGAGGTTACATTGCTGTTTCCTGTGTGGCGTACTTGTTCTAGAAGAGGATTTCAGTTTCCAAAACTGTGTTTCTGGTCCATGCATGAGCACTAAACTTATTTAAAAGAAAACCAGTATAGCGGTATATTAGTTCTGTGGATATTCATGGAGAGCACATATCTGCCAGAGAAACTCAGGCTATGTCTAAAAGCGTCTACACAGCAAAAGCTCATCGAAAAAGCAACCTGCTTTTTCGAAAGATAGCATCCCCACAGAATTGACACTATCTCGCATATAAGGCCACCTGGAACCAGTTCAGGGAGGGCATTATGTCACCAGTTGCTTCCGGGTGCTGTTGCCTAAGCCTAGCTGAGAGGGAACCCCCTGGACAGCTGTTTCTCTGCTTCTGCTGCGTGCTTGCCTACCTGTCCGAGGGACAGCAAAGCTTTAGCAGTATGTGCTCTGGTTGCCACAGCATTTTTTTTTTTTTTGCCATGGAGCCAGAGCTGCCCCTGGGCATGCCATGGCCCCACACTGCTGCAGTTTCTGCATTAGTTTGTACAGGCTGCCTTCATGGCCCT